AGGGCTTTATCCACAGACTCAACAGTTTTCTCTCTCACAAGACAAATACCAGAGCGTGCCAAAGCAAGGCAAACCATAAGAGCAAATATCCTCCACCAAAATGATGAAACCCTGTGTAAACCAACGCCACCACTGACTCGGCAGGATGTCCAAGTTTCCTGTGGCTTATCACCAAAGCTAAAATAGAAAATAGGAAATGATTTAAACACTAAACAGAACTTTCTTTGTAGCCATTTCTTTCTTTTGTCACAAACAATCACTGCTCTAAGCATTGTCTGTGAGAGACAACCAGTAACACTAACCATAAATTGTAAACCTGTATTTTCAGAGTTTAAATATTAAACTTATCTATCGCCATGGAAATGCTGTGTTTTTTTTAAGGTATTTTTGAGGAATAAAAACTACTGTAATTGAAAAAATGCGAGATGAATATGTGTAATGACATATTATGGAACATTTGAGGCAAATTGGCAACATCTCCTTGAAGACAAGCAGATGGCGGTTTCGTTCATGTAGTTACACATTGTAATAAATAACAACTATAAACAGACATATTTCAAAGCTATAACATCAATACGACATACTCAAAATCATCTTGGTGTACAGTCTTTCATTTCAATGTGTTTGTCCCACTGCAGAGCCTGAGTAAGTTTATGTATCCATTACACATGGGCCTGGTCATGATGCAGTTCACACAAAGCCTTAATACCTGAATAAATGTATGAATGTAACAGGCCCCAGGATGCTCACAGTGAATGACCGAAGGCTGTGGAGCTGTCCCTTTGTTCTGCTCCTCACCTACTCTTCCCCACGGAGGAGGTCGATGGTAAGAGGCCCAGGTGGGTGGTGGTTATCCCATAATGACCCGGTTTACTTTGAAACAGCATTGATCTGGGCCAGTGCTCTACTCCCTGCTCACAAAAAGATCTTCAAAGCCTCCTCTTAGCCTCATGCTAACACTGCTCAATACCAGTTGCATGGATAATGGAGCACATTACATTGTACTTCATTCAACACGATAAATACTTTATGATTCTCAGTTCACGTCCTATCACATCTTTGTCTCTGTCATGGGAATATCCTCACCCATGAATAAACCCCTCTAATGCAATTTAGCGCTTGATTTGTCTAATCAAACATGACATCAGATGGTAACAGAGGCATGGTTGGTTTACGTCTCTGTCTTTTTTTCTATAAAAAGCAGCTATAATGTTTCAGGTTTATTATTGTAAATGTAATGTTAAGTAAATAGTGACAGTGTGACAGTGAGAGTTTAGCTGAGCCTGTACAATGACAGAGAGCTGCACCACAAACCTCTCCTATGCTATATTTGATACAGGGCAGTAATTGCCACTTTTTAACAATCTAGTTAATTCTGCATTTGATTTAGTTTGTCCATTAGCATTGTACATGCAGGTATCTGTTTCTTGATCACCATGCTGGTGGCAAATCCATTAAGCCTTGTCTGTGATGTAAATTAATATGATTGATCGTTGCAATTTATTTTACAGAAAGAGAGTATCTGGAAAGATGAGAAATAACAGGGAATAGGACAGTCTCAGGCCATCCCAAGTCCATTCCAGCTGTAACAAGCTTGTTTTTCTTTCTCTGCACACACCATCCCAGGAGGTAACAGGTGCACATGAGGCAGGGGATCGAACGCGTAAGAGTGGATACATGACACAGGGCAAGCCAGAACCAGTTTGAAAAAGAAGTGTCGTTTTAAGTATTCAGTAAAACTGGAAGTGAGAAAAGCTCATGCCTGAGGGAGCTAGAAGAGTGTTGGTGGGTCTATGAGTGGACACTAGTCACTGCTGTGCAAACTGAGACCAATACAGTACTTTCATTAGTATATATCCTGTGATTAAATTCCATACCAAAAAGATAAAGCAGCAAACACACAGCAGAATATAGCTACATAGAGTGACTCTACATTATGACTTTGCCATCTTGGCTTGCTGCAGCTTGTCCTTTTTGAGAACGGCCATCTGTTGCTTGCTTGGTCACTTTGCATTATTAACTGTATTCCAATCATGCAAACACACAACATGAAAAGTCATATTACTCTGTCAACATTAACTTGGAAGATCAGGGCAAAGATAGGGGTGAAATCATGAATCCAATCTGAAAGCCTTGACCTTCCATTAGAGCTCAGGGTAGAGTCTGTGTAGTTCTCCCAAACCACTTCCTGAAACTCTTCTGTATTGGGAGTTTGACTGCAGTTTTACTTTGATCCCACAACATGTCTTATGGCTACTCTTCCTTGTGTGTGTCACCACACTCAACTGGGTGCCCTAACCAGCTATTTTTGTCTTGTGGATCAACAGTGCCGCTCTCAGTGCTATGAATGTCAGAAACCATAGCCGTTGCTATGGTGATGCCACACTGCAATATTCTTTTGCAGCCTGCCTGTCAATGTGCGGCAGCTTCCAAGCCGAGGAAAACGACAGCGACGGGAGGGGAAGGAGAGGAGACGAGACTTGAGGAGAGGGGGTCTGCGGCACAATCCAGCAGAATGCTAATCATCCTTTCACCACAGTGTGTCCTTCATTATGCAAGAGACAATGCACAGAAGCACAGAGTTAATGTGCGTCTATGTGAGCACACACAAAACATACCTCTACAGGTTTATAGCACCAACATGACAAGTACACTCAAGGTCATGTCGTGTGGAGAGAGAGCCATGTTCTGTGTGCCTGAGATCTGCACACTCATAAATCCCCCTAAATGTGTTTTTAAACATGTGCTCTCATTGACTTAGCAACATGTGTTTGGTCTGATTGCAAAGCGCACAGTGCCCTCTCTAATACAGCCATGCCAATAACAAATGCTTCATTATTAATGAGCCACTAAATGGATCCATTAGCTTCAGCACAGCATCAGCATTCTCTGGCTGTTCTTGCTCAGGGTCAGCTCCATGAAGAAACACTTTTCTGAGCTATGAAGAGTTAAGAATCACCTATGCGTAAAGGGCTCCTTAAAGGCTTAATTAAATACAAATAATGTAAGTGAATGAAAAGATCTGACAGGGAATGACACAAAGGTCACAATACTTGTCTTGTATGTATCCCTCTTTACATTGTGACAGAAGCATCAGATTTTAATCATGCATCCCGCTGTGATAACTAACATGCACACCTATAAGGATGCCCCAGTTTTGAATTAAGAGCTGCTATGAGTATTTACCCCACTGTTTGAGCCACTTAAAAAACTTATTTGAAATATTAAAAAGACTAACTTTTTGTGTATGTCTTTGTATGCTTGTCTTCCATTACATTGGTGGACAGAGTAGCACTTGACAACAGAAGTTATTACATAGCAGTACTGATACAAGATCAAAACTGCAGTGAGGATAAAAACGGGTCCAGTGATTAAATAGAAGTGTGCTGAGCTCACACAGTGACTGTTCAAAGACACACTGTCAGACTGCGTACCCCCGGGTACAGCAGGTAGACGTGATGCACGAACATTAGGTCAGACACACTCAAATGAAAAGGGAAATGCTGGGACAAAAGAGGTGGGCTCTGACACACAATGACAGTGGTGTGTGATTTCAGAGGTAACAGGAAGCTAGATAATTAAAGGCACTTGTCACACATTTGACAGGGTCCTGCTCCAGTACAATTAAGATAGCTGATAGCTGCACACACACACACTGCTAAAGTTACTGTTTGTGTTTTAGTGGTTGGAAGTCATTGCTTGTATTTGCATGGCTTTCACATTACAACCCCTCTCAACCCCACACTCCATAAAAGGCTAAAGAATATCTCCTGGCTGTCTCTCCAGCGGACAGGCCCCCAGTGGGTGCACTGCTGCAGGTACAAGCAGACTGAGCACCACTGCCTGAGCTGAGGCATACAGACTCAGTGCTCCAGGGACCATACACTCGCACCAACTACATAATATATGCAAAACACTCCCTAGCCAGCAAGTTCAACTCAAAATATTCCTGGCTGTTGTAACTAACAACAAACACAAATGAATATGGTAACCACAGCTTTCCCATGCCTCGAGGAAGCAAGTAGCTATCATAAGGAAAATGTGGCTTTGTCTCAAGTTTAAGAGTCCATGTGAATGAACAAACAGCAGTAACCAAAGTTTCATCTTCATACCACAGAGCCTCCTCAGATACCCCAAGGAATTTTATCATCAAGGCTGACCCGCCCCTGCTGTGCCATGCTCTATTTATCATGTCACATGCAGTGATTTTATTTAATTACAGAAATGAGCAAGTCAAAACTGAGTGTAAGTATAATATGTTCACCATTCATTACCTAGAAGTATAAACCTCAGAAATTCATGCTTTAATTACAGTAAGCCATTCGTAAGATGTGTGGTGTACACGGGTCATTCAGAGTCTAATGTTGGGAGATGTTGAGGGAGATGGTTAACTGTCTGCTGACCTATATATGAAAAGGAATAAATAACTGAATATGGTAAATACTAATAAAGTATTCATGTATAATCTTCAAAGGCAAATAGGATTATTTTAATTTGAATGTAACCCTTTTTACTTTTGAACAAATCAAAGTCATAAAGTTGTATTTTATTCATCTAGGAAAAAAATCAAGGCTTCAACATTATAATGATTAATCTCAATGGTCAATATGAACATGGAAGGAAAACATTCACAACATTCAAACACTGTAGTTATTTGAGTGATATTATTATTACTTAAAAAAAATATCAACATCAGACTTTCTTTTCTAAAAACTGGTTTAAAGGATGTCTATTTTAACCAACTCTAACCAATGAGTTATTTCTTATCTTCACCCAAGCCTTTCCACCAAAGACATCAAACACAATGACTCCGTATTTCCTGCCAACGTCTCATATCCGAACTGGCATATGTCTAGCCTTGGGATGAGCACAGGAGGTAGCGATGGCGCACATCCTGACCCAAAAATAACAACCAGCTCCCATGATGCATCGGCATAAATGCGAATAAACAGTGCAAATTCAAACCAGCCATGAAAAAAACATGAGAATTGCTCACTAACCTCTAAACTGTACTCTTCAACAGTCCTTTTAAGTGGGTCCACAATCTGCCAGCAAATGAGGATACACAAGTCAATTAGCAGCATCCCACCAACAATAATCAGGAGTTTCTGGTCCTTTATGATCTGTAAGAAAAAAGAGGACAAACATCAAAAAATACAAAAAAAAAAAAAAAAGACAAGTAGCATACAAATATGAGGAACAATATTACAAAACACTGTTAGAGCAATGGGATCACAGGTGCCAAGTAAATGTGACCAGAACACTTGAACAGTCTCTTTATTTATTTATTTTTTATGGCACCTGTTCAAATGCATCAAATTAGTATATTCATGGATTTCAGGCAAATAATAATATATATAGAATATGCTCATTTTAATTGCTTGACTGCTAAATGCGGTGGATGCTAAACCCATGAATACTGTGCAGTGTGAATAAACTGTCAGCGTATGAAAATGCATGTTGACAACCACCAAATATGCGGCGCTGTCCACCGGAGAAACTTTGAACTTTGAGAGATGAAAGCCATGACCTGTTTGAGATGGTTATTTATAATAGCGTTTGACTGTATAAAACGGCACATCAAAGTAAAGGTCATAACACAGGTGGAGGTGCGTGGAGGGTCTCACACAGCACTGGTCACAGGAGAGGGGAGCGTTTTGATCCAATAGCTTTTGATTGTGTAGCCATCAAACTAAAATATTACGAGAAATACCAGTTCAAGTGTGATATCCTCTTTGTATCATTGCAATATATGCATACTGCATGCTCTATAAAGACTTTTGAAGCTGAAAATAATGAACAAAGCTCACATGCAAAAAAACAAACAAAAAAACAACACAAAAAAATGCAAAAGTGTGATTTATTCAACACGTGTGATTTCCGACACCAACAGCTTTGTTATAATAATGTCTCATATTATGCTCTTTTTTGATCTATGTTATAATATTGTTTCCTCATCAAAAACATACCTGCAGTTGTGTTTTGTCTCATTCACACACAAAGATGGAACCAAGTTATTGTTTTGCAAGTCTCAAGTAAGTCTCAAGTCTTTGACCTCAAGTACGAGTCAAGTCCCAAGTCAAATACAGGCAAGTCCAAGTAAAGTCTCGAGTCACTGGCCCATAAGTCCAAGTCAAGTCCAAGTCGTCTGCTTTGAGCTTCAAGTCATTTCATTTTAAAATTAAGGTAAGTAATTAAGGAAAATTGTTATGCAAAGACCATTTATGGCTAACGTGTGAGTCAGTCTTTAAACCAAAGTACCAAATATAGCTTAGATTTTTGCAATTTATATGAATTTTAAATAAAACAGTGCTTATATATATAAATATAAATAAATAAAAAAAAAAATAAAATATAATATATATATATATATATATATATATACAGTCCCTGACAAAAGTCTTATCCATTTTGTAGAAACAAAAGCTTATAACCTGACTTTAAATTAATCAATTGGTTTTAGAAATGTCTCATATGAAAGCTAAAACCCTCCCAAATTATGCTCAATATACTAAAATAAATTTGCTGCGCTGAAGAAAGATTGATCATTTAATGAACACAGAAAGGTCAGATTTTGGCAAGACAAAAGTTTTGTCGCCTACAGAAAATTGAACAAATAATTTACTTCAAATACAAAAAATATGTTGCATAACATCAGTGAATTAAGTAGTGGTGCTGTGAGATCCATATTTAATATCTTGTATGACTTCCATGAGCTTGAAGGACGCATCCATGCGGTTCGACAATGATTCATACAATTTGTTGATGAAGTCATCAGGAATAGCAAAGAAAGCGTCTTACATGCCTCCCAGAGTTTATCAAGATTCTTTGGTTTTGCCTTCCATGCTTCCTCTTTCATTCTACCCCAGACATGCTCAGTGATGTTCATGTCTGGTGACTGGGCTGGCCAGTCCTGGAGCACCTCGATCTTCTTCGCCTTGAGAAACTTTGATGTAGAGATAGAATTATGCGATGGAGCACCATCCTGCTGCAAAATTTGACCCCTTTTATGGTTGGGAATGTAAGAGGTAGCTAATATGTCTTGATATTTTAGGCTATTGATATTGCCTTCCACCCTGCAAATGTCTCGCACACCCCTATACTGGATGTAACACCAGACCATGATTTTTCCGCCACCAAACTTAACTGTTTTCTGGGTGAATCTTGGATCCATCTGGGCTCCAGTAGGTCTCCTGCAATATTTGCGGCGGCTGTGATGTAATTCAACCGAGGATTCGTCTGAGAAATCCACCTTCTGCCACTTTTCCAGTGTCCATCATTTTAGCAGGCTGTGGGCCTTGGCAAATGCCACACGGTTTTTTAATTGCCTTTTGTTTAGTGCTGGTTTCTGTGCACTGATTCGACCATGGAGGCCATTTCGAGACAGAATTCTACAAACTGTTCAGGTTAACACAGGGACTTGAGGTGACCAGGCCTGGTGGAGCTCTGCTGCAGTGGAAAAGGGGTTGGCCTTGGATTTTCGAATCAACAAACGGTCCTCCCGAGCAGTTGTCTTGCGGGGTCTGCCGGACCTGGGCTTGTCAAAAACATCTCCAGTCATTTCAGATTTTTATCTTATTCTTTGTACTTGATGCTGAGACACATTGAAGGTGTCAGCCACCTCAGCAGTGGATCTGGTCTTCAGCCTCTTGATAATTAACACTTTGGTCTCGGGGTGGATCTTATGCATGTTGTCAGAGGTCAAGTTGCAGTTGATGTGAAGGTCTGGTATGCTGGGGTTCTTTTTATACACACCCACTAATTGACTGATCAGTAACTGATCACAGGTGAGGCTGTAATCTAGGATTGGGTGCATCATATGACAAGACGACAAGACTTTTGTCTTGCCAAAATCTGACCTTTCTGTGTTCATTAAATTATCAATCTTTCTTCAGTGAAGCAAATTTATTTTAGTATATTGAGCATAATTTGGGAGGGTTTTAGCTTTCATATGAGACATTTCTAAAACCAATCGATTAATTTAAAGTCAGATTATAAGCTTTTGTTTCTACAAAATGGATAAGCGAAAAAGACTTTTGTCAGGGACTGTATAGATATGAGTTGTAGAAATGCAATTTTTTCCTTTTTAAATGCACACATGCCCATCAGTATCTCAGTTATTATCGAGTTTTTTGAGTATCCCGGTTTGTCATGGTGCATGTACACGCAGTATCCCTGTTTCAGTATCCCGAATAAGCTAAGCGGTTATGAGAAACTGGGATACTGTAGCTGGTATATTCCGATAGTAACCGGAATACTGTGGCATGTATACGCAATATCCCAAAGACTGCCATAACCGGGATGTAGCTAATAATCCAAATCCTGATGTGCATGTATACGCACACATTATGGTCAGAATAGAAAGAATTCAGATTCAGAAGTGCTAAATATCAGTTATTTTGTCATGAAGGATCATGTTTTCTGTAGTTCCCTCTGTATTGTTGTGTATATTACTGTAGTACATTTGAGGATACCATCTCATAGTATTTCAGTTACAAAAAGTAAATTGGGAGGGAGATTTTCCAGTTTGTTCCTGTAAAAATTAAAATGTATGAACTGTAAAGAAAAATGAGAAGCATCACGTCTTCTCAAGTCACAGGCCTCAAGTCCAAGTCAAGTCCCAAGTCTTAGTCTATTTTATCAAGTCAAGTCTCAAGTCCTAAAAATAGTGACTCAAGTCTGACTCGAGTTCAAGTCATGACTTGCAAGTCCCCACCTTTGTTCACATATGTTTAACACACAAACCCTGCATATTTAGGCAGAGTTCTTCTCTCAAACAGAAAACACTCTATTCCACCTTGTGATGTCATGTGGTAATACAGAAAGAGCTCCATTATGTTTTTAAACTCCATACACGTTTACTAAAATGATTCGGTTAATTCAGCCCTGGAATCGTCCATCTCTACTGATTTAAAGATAAAAGTTAGCTGTTAACTTGAAAACATCACAAGGTGGAATAGTACATTTTGAGCTTTTGAGATATAGACAGATTAATAATGTGGGGTTACTCAAACATGAATGAAATAAACACAATTCCAGGTATATTTTTGATGATGTAACAACATTATAACATGTCCAAAAGTCCACAAGAGTACATTCTGCGTAATATAACTGGATGACATGTCCCAGTATATAGCTCCAGTGTAGATGTCCCAGGATTTAATAGCACATAAGCCTGTTAGCCTGGATGCATATAAAGTTGATACGTATATATGGGCCACCATGGATCACTGGCTGACAAAACGCATCTCCTGGGACATGGCTCAAGATAAGGCATTTTAGAGACAGCATAGTTTATGTACAGTGTGTGTGTATTTAGTGCGTATTTGTGATAGAAGGACGTTTGATTGACAGCTTATGAACCCTCTAAACTGTGCTGTCTCAAGCTCTCAGCTCTTTAAGGAGTGAAAGAGAGCTAGCCACAACTCACCAAGTAGAACCCGTATTGAACACCCCCCTGATTTACAATCAGTGGTTAGATTTAAGATGCGATGAGGGTACAGGGACTAGGTAAGCAATATAGTTCTGGGCTTTACCAAGAACCTTCCCTATCTTCTTTGTCAGCAGCAGCAAAAAAGTTTATGTTGGAGTGAATTATTGTCAATTACTAAGCTGTATTTTTGATCTGTAGATAATTGCTAAATGGGCTAATGATATCACATGTCTTTCCCATCCTTTGTAAACCATTCATGCCTTGGGTTGCTATTGCTTCCACTTTTCTCCACTACATCTCTTCCCTCCCACTTCAGCCTGCGTCGATAAAACGTCTATACCATGGTTCATCTGTTTGACTGTTTGATTCCTCCCTTCCTTTGTGCTCAGTGTCTCCGGCAGGCCACCCACACATCCTCAAATATGCCCCGAGAATAAGAGAGAAGGGCTGTGTGATAGCAAGATCTATAAATACAAAAAAGGCCATGAACACTCGCTGAACTTGGCAGCACTTAATAGAAATAGGACAAGGAAAGAAAGCCTAAAAACTATACGGATAGCTTTCAGGAACGGAAATGTAGTTTTGACCTTAAATATGTAAGAAAATGTTATGTCATGTCAGTACCCACCTTCTTCTTCATTTTCACATTTTTAAAGATGGCATGCACCCTCCAGGTCTTTGCAAACATGGCACCAAAAGCCGTGGTGTATCCAACGATGAGGATCCAAGTCCGAACCTAACGCCGCAACACAAACAGCAAATTACAGCAGTGGAGATGAAGGCATAAACCACCATTTGATCTGACAGGTATCTGCATGTTTTTATTAGAGGTTCATTCAAAATAGCAACGAGGAGCTTTCTAAAAATATGAGCTGTCAGATTTATTTTTTGTCTTCAAGCGCTACGCTCTGGGAGAACATCCTGGACCATGGAGGCTGTCACGCTCAGGAGAACATTTCATCAGAACGACAAACTAAATAAAGACTTTTAACTGCTCACCACTGATGACGCATATTTTCAAGGATTTAAATTTTGCATGGAAAATACTAAATTAGCGATTTCATGCTTGATGTGTTCTGTGTCTTTTTAGTAGTGTGGATGGGGTACTCCTCAGTTTTACACATGGGCCTCTTCATGCTGCACTGTGTGTAATCTTGGAGGCCAACAGGGACTGAGGGCTGTGTGGAAAAGACAGCAAAAAAGCCAATTACAGCATCTATTCTTCAAGACAGCAGCTGTATTGATCGCTGGTGCATACTTCAAGTTGGGTGTTCCTGGAGTGACTTTGTTTAGCTTTGTGCTCTGTCTATTTATGAGTTGTGAAACCTTTTGGAACCTTTTGAGAATTTTCAGTGCTCTGAAAATCTGTTTTCACCTACACCTTCTCTATGCCCACTAATCTGTACTTGTACTTGTAAGAAGTGGTGACCTCTATCAGTTCTGAACAGGTCAGTGAGCCTGTTTCTATTTTAGATCAATATTGTGGTTTACAATTAACATAAAACAATGATCTATGTATGTTTTAGTTTAATGCTAAATACCTGTAAAATAAAGGTAAGTAACATTCTGTAAATATTAAACTCACAGTGCAAAGAGTCTCAAATTCAGTATCTGAAACAAATCCTCCATCCAGGCCAAAGAGAAAGATGGAGGCATAGGACAACATGCCTCCGAGGATGATCAAGTTGTTCATGTAGGGGCTAGACATCTTGATTAGTCTAAAAATAAACAACTTTGTGTCAAATGGATACATTCAGTTATATTAACAGTTTGCTCAATTCCTGACAGCTTACCTGTGGTTGCGGTTTTTAATATTAAAGAACAGGAAGGCCCCAGCCATGAGCATGCCTAATATGGTCATGGTGGACAAGATGCTGTAGAGGGGAACGTTAATGTGGCGTCGCTGGAGTCGCACAAAGGTCCGATCTTTTGGGGGCTCCACACCTGTTAGATAGACACTGTCATTTCTGGACAACTTTCATACTATTCATACATTACGTTACCATATAGCAAGTCATAATTAAAAACCAAATAGCATATCTTCTGAAATGGCAAAAAAACGAAGCTGAAACCCACCAAACAGTTGCATTCATGTTAAAAAAAAATTTATGATGTCATAAATTCATACAGGACAGGGCCTATACGCTATTACACAGAAGGATTTTTTTTTTGTAATTTGAAAGAAAATATGATTCACAAATGTTAAACCATATAATTTTTTTTTCTTAGAGATTAGCTCCACAAATTTGCTATATTAATCTTAAGGCTTTAATTCCTTTTAACTGACAACAATCACGTCTTTAGGGTTCAATAACAGCACAATTTTCAGAGGCTATTGTAAAAGATTAGTTCACTTTTGCTTATTTATGCTGACAGAGAATACGTTTAACTCTATGGCTGCGTAATTACAGAGAGAGTAACCAAAAACAGGTGAACAAATCTGCAATCTGACAATTAAACCGTAAAGTCAATCACAAAATTTTGTCCTCTAGCTCAGTTTTAAACTATAAGCATTGCGCATCATTGTGATGTCACCTGAATGCCTCCTATTAGTTTACACGTGATGGCTGTATAATGCAAATATGCACACAGTAAAGTTAGATGGCCCATGCACTCTCTTATCTTTGACTCTATCTTTCTGCCTTCAGCTGAACGATCAATAGCAATAGCATCGAATTACATACATCCTTTTAGTGTGGTCAGAGATGTGGAAACAGGCCTTTCAGATGACACTGTGCAGGAATCAATGAATGTAGGACTAGAGCATGTGAGGCACCGGGAAAACTGAACAGATTCTAACGTATGAAAACATGACTCTGTGGCAGGAATGGTGCAAAATGGACTTGTAAATAATTGAGTAGACAAAGGACAGTTTTAACAGTAGCGGTTCTCTCACAAGTTATGACTTATACTTTGAGTGTGTTCAGGGGGAAAACAGGGTAGGTGGTCGCTTGTTATAAATACACATAGACAGTAAATATAAATAGAAAGCTTCTCCTTGTTGAGACGTGTCCGTACCTTGGAATCTGATGGAGTTGTTGATGAGATCCAGAACATCTGCAATTGCGTTGTATTCCCCCACCTTTACTTCTTGGCCCTCTATCAAGATACAAACATCATTCATACTCATTAGTGGTGTTTTTGCCTATTTACAAGAAATAAAAGACCCCTGTTAGGCTGTAGTCAGTAGTAAAACAGAAAAACATTTATGCGAACTTCTAATTCGGCATGTATGCATAAATAATAACAAGGATTAGTGCCCAGATCCGTCATTCTAAAACTCTGCAGTTCTAATATAATTTAGATTATTTTATTCCACTTTTTTGTCCTCATTTTAGTTAATTATTTTTTATAACTAGTATATCAGTTGTGTTGTCCTATTTTGGACCTGGTTTAGCCCTAGTTTAGAAATAGAATAGTTTTGATTAGACCTGGTTTAGATTTGGTGGCACTTGGAAAGCCAAATATTTATTTTGATGGTGTGAAAAATTTGAGAACCACTGGCCTAGTTATTAATCTGAGCAAGTAAACTGAATGCATGATGTTACACGAAATAGAGAAAAATAGTGACTTATTACACATAAAATCAGTGTAATCCAAAATCATTAGTAAACTAGTCCATATCAAGATCAATCTGACTTTACGGCCCTCAGTTAGATTATTTTATGAGATGTATCACTGTTGGCTCCTTTAAGACGCTGCTTAATGTTTCCCGGAAATTGTATTTCTGCTTTTACAGTCTCAATTATCAGTTTATTTTACCTCAAGGAGACCAAAGAGGCCATGAAGAACACATATCTCAGAAAGCGGCCAATAGGCAAATGCATATTAAGCCTCTAAATGGACCGTATGAGTAGACTCTCCATGACAACAGCAATAACTTATTTTGAATGACAAAGTAGAATAATCAGACAGGAGGCCATAGTGTGTAAGGGATCCAGTTGTGAACACTGTGTTTGCACAAGCAGAGCTGCCTCCTCTTTCCCCAAACAACAATAGCTGCGGCATTGATGGAGGAGTGACCTTGAGTTGTCAGGGAAACACATGCCTTCACTCTTCTCAGCTCTTAAGGAATCCTCAGTTACAGCTGGGATGAGCTGAGAGGTGAATGGGAGATTGCTCTTCTTTTCTTTTGATACAAACAACCAGCAACAACTATTTTTCCTAGTGTCCTTGTAGAGTTCTGCCTATTCAGTGTGATTGTCCCCATTGCTATATAACTAAATCAATGAAGTATTTGCACATTTTCAATTGAATTTTATTAGCTTTACCAAACTGAAATAGTATCAAAGATCTTATCAGGACCACTTCCTTTCAAGCTACCTACTGGGCAAAGTATGGATTGCCCAACTCTGCCCTCTATGGGAATATTAATGTCCTAAAAACTTAACATTTGATATGTTAAGCTTTTATAGCTTATGTGTTTATGTTTTGGCCATTGCTTCATCAAATCTGTTTTTATGTATTTTCCAATACAATACAATAAAGACATTTTTAGCAAGAATAAGATATAGTACCAGTCAATGTCACTTAACTAATAATATTGATGCACATATTGATGACAAATATGGATTTTTTCCCCACACGTTTCTTCAGCAAACTGTGCCTTTTCAAAGGCTATAAACAAATGCATACATATTTGATTACACCTTCCAAATTCAAAGTAAATCTTTGCTTTCAAATATGTAACAGAGAAACCCTTGGGATGCCTACCCGTTAACCAAACACTCGTATACATTGTACCACGTCTAGTTCAGTACTGTTGTAGACCCAGGACTTCGATCCTAATCTCCAGAGACCTGGGATATGAGCCACTTTGGCCCCTGAGTATGACAAGGTAAATGCGTGGTTCTGAGGCTGAGTGAGAATGATAGGGCTGTGTTGAAGATCCTGCTGAAATATTCAGGGTATATGCAGTCCCTCTTCTCAGCCCCACACACAGTGTCAAAGGAGTATCATGAGCCATCCCTGACAAGTGCGAAGCATGTGGCAGAGAGGGCAGCATCAGCACCAGGGTCAGGACATGTTCATGAGGACAGGAGCAGGGACTCAGGGTAAAGGACATCACATACACTCACATCACTCTACTTAGAATTAGCATAAGAAATACCAGCTAAATGAAATTATGTTAAATTAATTTCACATGAGTAAAACAAATTTGACGAAGAGATTTGGAATAATTCCAGCACTACACAAATATTTTTGGACTCTAGTTTCACCAAGCTGTGTATTTGTTGTTGTTTGGGTGACTTTTAATCTCATCTCTAAACCACATGGTCATTAAAATGCGTGTCATATGTGATAAGAGAAACAGCACGTTGCCCACATCTGCAGTGTTTAGTGTTTAACTGCTCACAAACTGTCCAGTATCTGCTGTCAGACAGAAACACACACGCACTGCTCATGCACATGGAGTGTGATTTAAAGAGCCGGAGGGATGGAGTCCCTCTGCACCAGGGAAGATAAGATGTTTAGCAGAAAGAGCTGAGCACCACACAGTGCTCTACATACAGGCTGGGAGCAGGAGCCAGGAATCCCCTACATACAGATATTATCTGTATGTTATGCCCTACACTGTAAGACTCTCTGACTCCAACCATGTAGAGGACAACATCCAGGGTGGAAAACACTGAATGTGAAAAACACACTCTGTTGTCAAGACCAATTAGTTGTAGAGAGTGCAGCAGTAGAGCTATTAACTAGCCTGTCTAGCCAGTAGTGGGCTCTCTACTCCACAAAGGACTGTCTGGTCCAAATCTGAGCCATGGATTAATTACCTAACCCAAAGTTTTCACGCTGCCGAGCTGTGGACATGTGCGTTGCTCGCCTGACTGCTTTACTTCACGGCTGTTTGCCCCACATGTTGACAGAACTAAACTAAAGGAAGAGTTACCAGACACCTTGCGGATACTGTGAGGTGTCAGGCTGTTTAGGCCTTAGCATGTGTGGTCCACCTACCTTGAAACTGGTTGAATTTGATTGTTCCCATTCTTTCTCCATTCCGAAACATGACTTGCCCCTGGGAACAAAGCAAACAAACACAGCATCATTAACAATGAACTACTCATTGGCTTGAGCCAAAATGTTTGGTAAATGCACTATTATTATGGCAGTGCTATTATAATGTTGTAAATATATTTGTTAAGTCAATGGGATTGTTGACACAGAACAAAAAGCCCCACTCCCATTGTAACAAATGAAGACAATCAGGTTTCTCTTATAGCTCATGTTGTTGTATTTCTGCTCTCTCCCTGTTGTCAGTGCCTCCTGTCTTTCTTTATCTCAAAAGACGCTTAAATTAATTCAGCTCACCATCTGCTTACTGAGGTCCTTAATTACACATTTAACTGCGTTTACATATTATTGCCTGACTAACAAAACAGGTGAGAGCAGGCAAGACAGCGGGCGAGCGATCTGCACAGACACAAGCAGGTAGTTGAGAAAGAGAGAGAATGAAATAGAAAAAAGGATTTGCATTGCCTGATTAAAAGACAGCTGAGGGGGAAATGTGGAGAAGGAAGATCCATAGCCAATTTTGCCTCAAAAAGATGGTGCGCTTTGAAGTAGCAGAGCGGGATCCTCCCCTCTGTTTGAATGTGTGGCTTTGTGTGGCATCTTTGATGTTGTCTGAGAGCACGCTGCTGTTCCTATACAAATATAGGAGCTAAAGAGGTTTATAGTCAGGAACATTTGGCCTGTATGTGGTGTCAGTTCAACCAGATAGTATAATGTCTCTGTGTGCCTACATAAACTAGATAATTTGGTCATACTGTATTCAGTGAATATCTGTGCATTATCAGTCACAGTTTCCATTGTAACATTTTATTTGATGACTGGGAATTACTGTTTTACTGCTGTCTGTAAGGATTCCAATGTTACCTGCCATAATTTAGCATGTTGTACAAGCTGTCTGGCAAAAGTTAAATGATGTTCTATATCATGTTCTATAACTCCATCTTTTGTGGTAAAACTACATAACACACAGTACTTGAGTGTTTAATCCTTATTTAACAATCTTTTTCAAATTGTAATGCTTATTTGAGTCCATCTGAGTATTATAAGAATTTGTAAGAGGGGGATGCTGCTCTGTTGACTGCATGTTGGAGATTCTCCTCATTTCTGCTCAGACATCAAGAGGCACACACATACATGTCGATACTACAACTCAAACACACCACTTCACTGTGACATTCTCAGAGACATTATGTTCTTGCAACAAAGATCGAGGCAAATCTATTGGAGACTATTACACCAATGTAATTTCTTTGCCTTGATGACGGGAGCATAAAAAATAGGGAGACACATGTTGCAGAATGGAAGAATAAATATTGCATTGGTCAGTATATATCCAATGTAGTTCGAGAAAAGAGTGAAAAGCAATAGTGTCACTGTGTAATAATACCTATTATAGACATGTTATTCACAATTATTCATTTTAATATGGTCAGGTTCTCCCTACAAACAAATATACTAATTGTTTTTATATGCATTCCAAGCCTACCCATCTGTATCAGTATGACTACCGTACTTGCTTGATATCTTTCAATAAGCGGCTGTGCTATCTCTGTCTGTAAACCCCAGTAAACTGCACTCTTTCTGGTCTGAACAGCTCGACTAATGTCAGCCTCTTCCTCCTCCTCCTTCATGGCAGCAGTGAGATCAATGAGAGTCTCCTGCAGCAGCCCCACTCGGATCACGGTGCTGCCTTCTCCCGGGGCTCCTGTGTGTATCCAGCAAACACAAGCAGGAAATAGAGAGACAATGGGCCTAACCATGCCCATATGAAAACACACACTTCAACACAAGAGCTGTAGGGCCGGGAATCAACGTATTCTGAATGGTATATTGACATAGGAATGGTGAAAAATGTGAATATGCATGTGGCTCTATTAAAAGGAATTGTCTTACACATTTGTTTGAGTGGGTGGGAGTCTGCTCTGTGTGGTGAAATGCTTTGATCTTATGCAATTCTTCAGCACTGGTTCTCGACTGCTTTCATTTTGATTTTTGATTCTTATTTTGAGCTTTCTTTCATCTATAGATAACACACAATGGAATATTCTTAGCAAAGCCTTAAAGTAGTTGTTGTTTGCTGTGTTGTCACTGCTGTGCATTTTTTTTTGGATACTCGCAATGCATAAGGTAAGAAAGGAATAACCTTCAACATCTCCATGGAGACAAGCAGGTGACAACCTCTACACCAGAAAAGTTACACAGTGCACCTTAAAATTTACTTTTTTAAAAATCAGCATGAACAGGAATAGGATTAGGTAATGATAATTTGATGAGTCCAGTTATTTCCTTACATATCAATATCTTCATAGTAAAACAGAACTGACATAACTGACATTCTGCCACACACGCGCACGCATGCATACACACACAAGCACGCACATCCCAACACATACACACACATAAATGCACAAACAGGCTTGCTTAGAGAGCTCAGAGCTGATCCAGTATTCTACACACTCTACACTACTACATCTGCACCCTCCTCTTGAGCCCACCCTTCACTTGCTACTATTATCACAGCAAATGCAGGTCTTCAATATTCACCTCAGCAGCACACGTGTAATTTTAGCTTCAGTAGCCCCACCTGCCTTGTGAGCTCATTTATTCCAAAACACCTCTTTGAATATGATATAAGTGATATCTTGTTATTAGATCCATGCACTGGTTGTAAAATAGGTTTTCAAATGGAGTCCAATCCCATCAGTGTAGGTGAGCAGTAAGAAAAGGTTATTTATGCAGGCAAGGGGGCAGTTAATCACAAGGTAGACTTGGGCCAGTGGGTGGAAGGCAGAATATAAAGAAAACCAACAATGAACATGCAGCATGGCAAACATGAGGAGATTGAAAAAGTACTGCAAAGCTATACTGTATGTGCACTTACTGTGACTCCATTAAAGTTGGTCTCGTTCATTACATCCAGAACTAGTTTCCCCACTTCCCTGTCATCCACTGTGAAGTTATGGAAGTTTTGTCGCTGTTTGATTCTGAGTAGCTCCATGACCCGGGTCAGGGTTTTGGCGATGACCCAGATGCCATCGTACGCAAAGCCATGGAATTTACTGGATTCAACTCCTTTCTGTAATAGTTCTCGATTGTATTCACGCTCATACTCTTTAGGGGTCTACAGAAGAAAAGACACACAAACAACAGCTTTCATTTACAAGAGAACAACTCCATGTTAGAACATGATTTCTACTTTCTTATACTGAGTGAAACTAAAGTTGAGTGAATTTGGCATAGTTTGTATTAAACATGCACTATCTTTTCTGTTTGAAGGTCCACCACTTATTTACATGGAGATTTTATTGCTTTGCCTGGAATCTTCCACAGTTATCTATCTTGCATTTAGTCTGTTACAAGTGCTCAATTATACCTTAAAAAAATCTAAGTTGGTGATGCCTTGTGGCTTGTTCTCAAGGAAATTATAAATGTTATACTGTGAAACATTCTAAACAGCTAAACACTAAACTTCAAATTGTTAAATAAATGTAAATCTTCATCTCAGTTCATCTGTGTGACCTTGAAGTGGTAAGGTTTCTTGTACCTTACAAAATCAGGGTGGCATTGTTCAACTACATTTGGCTGACTATTGTGGGACAATATGTCTTCTTATTCACCTTTACTTCATACGGCTACCACACTCGCTTCGCTTGTTTCTTTTTTTAACCTACAAATGAACTTTCTAGATATGATTTCTGGTTTTATTTTCAGCTCCTCTTGTACTGACCCGGCCTGAGATCCCCTTGATCTGCCGTGCACTGAGTGGCTCAAAGTCCACACTGATATAGCCCTCCATGGCCGCCAGCAGCTTCTTCGTGGTGCAGTTTGTGGAGTTGGCCTGCTCCCACCAGTTTCCTTGGTACCATCCAGGAATTATCCACTGGTACTTACTTCCATACATGTTCAGGTTATAGGCCTTGGATAAAAAGACATAAGAAAATGTTAGTATTTATGTCTAATTTGCAAGAAGTGATTTTAAAATAAGTTGTACTCACACAGCAGAAGACTTTGGATGCCAAGTTCTCATCAAACTGTCCAATTATAATCCTAACATCATTGTCCTGTCAAAACAAACAGAACAAAAAAACATTAAGCTTGTGTAGAATTGTACTGAATATGAGTAAATTGTCAATAACAAAATTCAGTATATGTTTGTAACAGTTTCTCTGCAGCACTCTTTCTGCAGCTCTTTTAAATGACCTTGAAATGTATATTTTTCGATCTTCTATAACAAGATCATTCTTTCTTTCAAGTGATGCTCATCAATAGTAGCAAAACCACATTGGAATTGATTTGCTGTTAGGCCTGCATGATTTTGGAAAACAATAAAAATGTATCTGTTAAGAATGCACATTGTAAACAACTTAGAGAACAACTAACATTTGAGAGAAGACTGAAATAAACTACTGCGGGAACAAGCATTTAAAGATATCTCAGCTGCAAGTCCAAGTATTTGAACTCCAGGTAAAACTAAAATTTTCAATGAAAAAGACACGATTTTTTGTTCTTTACATTCTGGTTGAAATAACTGTAGCTTTTATGATTTGATTTGCAGCAACTCAAACTGTGATTTCGATTAATTTGCGATATACAGTATTGTGCAGCTAAACTTTATTATTTAAGTTATTTCATAAAGTCACTCCCTAGCATGGGGATTCAGAGCACATGGCCTGTTGAGCTGAATAAATAATTCATTATTGCTCGGGTGAAGTGCAGTGTTTGTGGGAGGGAGAATAGATCAAGCTCTAGGCTAACAGTCTGTCATTTACTGTGCACCTCCGTATGTATGTCATCCATAGACATGTGTTTGTATACAGGCAGATGGAGCAGCACTCAAAACAAACAGACAAACCACATACACACACAAAACTGGGCCTGACAGGTATGGACATCGGCTCTGTGAATTTTACACAACGTGGCACATACGATTGCCCCGTCAAAACAAATTAAAGTGAGGAAGAACTTGCAAATGGAATAAATATTTAGCTCATATATAAAAAAAAGACTTGATGTTTCATGCTGTCCCTTGCTGCATGACAATGTGAAAACCTAATGAAAACAGTCCACGAAGTGTTGCTCCTGAGGCCATTTCATGCCATATGTCACATAACGGAGGATCAGAGGGGGCGGCCAGTCACTGTAGTGGGTCCAAACGCTGCAGGCGATGGGGACACAGTGGAACCCAAGTGACAAAACACAGCTAGACTCTGTATTTACAGTATACTGCTGTTGTATGGAAGTAGGGATGTTATGTTAATTCAGTTATTTGATAATTGTTCTTATTTAGGTCACAATATAATTATAAGAAAGTGTATTTTATAAAGTTTCACACACATTAGGTGAATGTTACTGGAGGACAGTGGACAATGTGAATGAATGTAAATGAAGAATTTCACTATAATTGTAACCTATATAGTGATATATATATATGTATATATCTGGTGGCTATAACTAGTCTAAATGTGTTTTATCCTTGTAACTCGATAGTTGGTTATTTCTTGCAATGAAAGATAAATCATAATATCCAACTTGGATGACCTATAATCTCTTAAGACATTAACTGAATAAAAACACTATTATTGAGTTGTTTTCAGAAAAAAAATAAACTAAACCAAAAAAACTATGCCCATAACTTTCTCCCTTTTCCCCTTAATATCAGCATCACCTCTATGTTATGGGACCACATTTTCTAAATATATGTGCCTGTGCATTTCTCTGCTTCAGAGAAGCAGCACCAACTCAGTGAAACCCTAAATTGGACCCGAGACTATGTGAAATATTGTAGTCTGGGGCAAGGCCGTAAGTATAACAGTGTTGTGTTTGCATATGAGCCTGACTGTGCCAGGACAGACACACAAATTATCCTTATTGCTCTGGCTTTTATATTACAATAATCCACAGTGAGAGTTAAGAGGGCCCTGTGCTTTCCACATGACATGGCTGTTTGTAACTATATGAAGAAGATTTATTTGATAATAGCCAGTGTTATATTGTAGCTCCCGTGCACTGGTGATGCTTATTAAGTACAACACTGTAATGATGCTTTTTATGAGCTTGTGAGGCGCATAATTTGAACACAGGGCAATATGTTGCTTCTATTATGAACCCTCTTCTTCATATTTGTACCAATTACTTTTGAAAACTGACAAAGAGAATAAATTATGTGTAAATGTATTAAAGGTCCTATAATACACAAAATTGACTCTTGTGAGCTTTTAATTATGTTACGATGTTGTAACCGCCTCAAAAACATACCTGGATTTGTGTTTTGTTTCATTCACACATGTCTGAGAAATTCTTTTTATTAGTCTGTCTATATCTTCAAACCTCAAAATGCTCTGTTTGTCATGAAGCAGTAGTTTGAGAGTTAACAGCTACCTTTTATCTTTTGCCCAATAGAGACTGGCAATCCCAGGGCTGAAATAATCCAAATGATTCTAGTGAAGGTGTATGGAGTTTAAAAACACAGTGGAGTACATGACATCACCAGGTGGAGCAGAGTGTTTTCTGTTTAATAGAACACCTCAGCCTAAATATGCAGTGTGTGAAACAAAACTCCAGATATGTTTGTCTGGAGAAAACAACATTATATCATAGATCAGAAAACGGTGTAATATGGACCCCCAAATCTTTCTATGTCCAAAAATATCAAATTGCAAAACTGAATATGATGAAATATTAGGTGACTAATGTTAAACAACCAAAATGTTCTTCTTAAAATGTAACCCTTCTTTCTCACATTGGAGGCAAAGAGATTTTGAATGTATAGTAAATTATTAAACAACAATAAATAATAAAATGCACTGGACTTAATTTAGAATGGTAAAATATTTTTGACAGTGCCCTGAAGTGGCAGAAAAGCCCATGAGTAAGTAAAAAGCATTTCCAAAATTGTGCAGCATGTTTCCATAGTAACTTCACAGCCATATTATGGCATATTAAAATCAGAGTGGGGTAAGAGTGTGGCATGTGTGACTTTATATTGAGATAACTTGGAGAAGACAAAGAGTTGCTGAAAAACTGGAAACTTAAATGCAATGAAATTGTGTGCACCCTACAGCAGCTCTGTCAAGGCTGTTTGTAAATTCTAGTTTCGTGAGTGCACTATTTCTGGAGCCCACAGTGACGCCACGATCCCTTCTTGCATAAACTATAAACTGGGCTGTGAATATGAATTTTGAATATATGTCACCCTCACCATTTATAGATGTGGTGAAAAGACAAGGAAATAAACCATCAGTGTCCCCTGCCTGTGCAAATAGTCTGTAAATTGTGATTTAAATATTTACAACAGATCAAGGAGTGATGGTGTTATTTTAGAAGTCAGATTAAAAAATGTTGAGCAGTACAAAATAAAATAACATATATATATATATAAAAAATATAATAATATATGTCCAGAAGAAAAAAGATAGTGACAACGCAAATGTTGGTAGCAATAAAAAGCAAGGTTACCAGACTCTAATGAACAGATACAAAGCTATGGTATAAAATCTATCTTCACATATCAGTTATTATCAGGAATAAAAAAATATCCTTTCAGTATGACAATGGCTTTGAGATTAATGAAAGCATATTATGTTTTTTATATTCTGATCATTGTAAACTGTAAAACTGATCAAGTTAAAAACTCTTTTTTAGTTTTATTGTCAACATTACAGACATACAATTGAACTGCTATCTCCTTATGAAATGGAATACAAGCATAGTGAACAGTCAAATGTGATTCAGACTTACCTTGAGCTTTTTAACATTGACACACGGGTCATTGGAGAAGCTTTCCGTGTCTGCGATCTGAATGTCTGCCTTTTCCAGCTCATTGGTCAGGTCGTTCCTCACCTGAGAGACAAAAACAGAACAAAAAATGCACATGAGCAAACATAATCACCTTGAATAGAAATGACAAGCTTTTATTTTACATTGTACTCTTGGTGAGTTGTGCATATTGCTTAAAGGTAGATTCTAGATCCTCTGAGGTTAAGAATACTTTTCAGCATGTCACACCTTTGCTGTGAAAACTAAAAAGCTGCTGCAGGCCCCATGTGTGTTGGAGGTGACATGTGGCTGTCCAACACCTTCAGAGCTGGTGTCAAAAGGCAATTAATGAACTCTACTCTTAATGAGCCCAAGAAAAAAAATACAGTGTTATTTGTTATTTTCTTGTTTCATAAATGTATATATTATATATATATATATTTTTTTTTTTTATGTTTTCTTATACATCAACATTGTCCTATCTCACAATGTAAAAGCAGTATATGTAGGATATATACCAGAATAAAAAAATGCATGCATTAAAATAAGATAAAAGCCCTTAATAGAATATGATAGACAAATAGAAAATATGCAGTATGTGCAGAACAACATAAGTGTATAAACAAGAGTGTCCCTAATGCTCAACTGTTCAAAGCAAATATGGATTTTACTATTTTACAATTGCAATGGTGCCTACTCACAAAGACAATCTTTTTTTGTGTGTTTTGATTCTAATGCTGATTATCCAATCAGAAAGCAGAATGATCTTTCCACTTTGGGCTGCCAAATCCTATGACTAAAACTACTGTACATTGTATAAATATAAACCTGTGTCTGAAATACTCTCCACCAAAGGCCCAATGATCGCGCTGTTTTAAACTAGTGACTGTACAGACTTTATCACCTAAATATGGAAGACAACTAAGTATCTGCATTTGGGGGCAAACACCTGTTACATAAAGCCGCAAACCCCCAAATCACCTATACAATTCTTCTTACAGGACACGCTCAACCTTATCTCCCTATGATACAAAACCTTCTACCTTCTACATATATAACTTGAAGACCTACTCTATGAAATCCATCCATTTTTGATTTGTCTCTTACTAGCCACAAAACAACCCAACATATAGCTGCCACAGTTCACATTGCTTGTAATGTAATTGCGTACAGCTGTCTTTCTCGCACGTATGGGCATGCATTGAGCGGCCGGGTGGGGTGGGGTGGGGTGGGGGGGTGGGCGAAGGGGGAAGCAGCGTAACTCTGTCTTGCAGCAGGTGCGTGTCTGCTTGATGTATTGATTCGCTGGAATGGCGGGTAATGGGATCAGCGGAGGAAGAGAATAGCGCAGGTATCCCACAGTGATGGTAGGCTGGAGGTGGTTTATCATGCTGCCTCCTCCTCTCACAAACACGATTTATTCCTCGGGCTGCTTGTGGTTTCCGAAAAGCTATTTTATGCCAGACATTTTCACTTGTCATGAAAAGGAGGAGTGCAGGTGTATTGCAGTGGTGATCTATGCCACTTGCCAATGAGCATAACGGTAGCCCTGTTTTATGTGTGTATGTGCTTTGAGAATATTATCTTCCTATTTAGGCCAAATGCTCCTTCAGATCCCCTGCCAAGTTCCTGCATAATGAGTCCCAGCCAGAGGCATTATGGTGTAAAAGCTTCAATAAATAGTTAAGGTGTTGATAGGGTGCAGTTCTTTCCCATAAAATAGCCAACACCAATGCAATGCTAGCAGTCAGCAGAGAAATAAAATCAAACCAGTACTCAACATCTAAATTAAAGTACTAATACCTTAAGGTAGCGTTCAAAGTCAGTATTTGATTACATATTTTCTGCCTACAACTAATACTATCATTTGCCCGCTCTTCTAATCACTCTTGCTCACAAACCAGTCACAATTTGTTCAAAAATAAAATTAATTTTCAGTTTCTTAAAATATAAATACACATGTACAGATATTCATGTAGTATGTGTATGTGCTACAAAAAATACATATAAACATAAATTTGAGATAATTTAAGATAAGATATTGAAGATAATAATGTTTATCTAGGTAGTAGCATCGGCATTAGTAGTAAAAGTAGTAGTAGTAGCAGAAGAAGAAGAAATAGTAGTAATGGTAGCAATATAAACCTCTTCCACAAAGGCCTATAGTAGTGTCTCTACAATTACTTCAGGTAACAATATGAGACAGTTTTATGTAATTGAATTTTTCCCACTTAAAAAATCAATACCAACTGACAATCTCAACTTAATTTCACCTTCACTAAACATTTGCTTGTCAAGTTCTCGTCTTTGGGGCAGCACTAAAATGCTACATCAGTCATTTTTGTATAACACTCCACCAGTGTGAGGTGGAAACATCAAGGCACACGCTCTGGATCAATACAACCAGGTTTTGCTCTTGAGGAACAATTGGCTCAGTGATCTGGACACGCCAGAGCCTTGTACTCTGTTTGGGATGAGTGCTGGTCTATGGTGACCAAGTGTTACAACACTAAAACATAAATATTGAAATATTTTACTGAAGTAAGAATAATGTTACTTCAAGTATTATTTCATGTAAAAGGACAAATTACCCAAGAAATGACTGTTGAAAAAAGTAATTGGGAAAACTTGTGCTCAAGCAAAAGTACCTGTCTGGATAGAACAACTGATTTATAATTTTAAGTTAATTAATTGTCAGGACAAACAAAATGCATAGAATTTGTATTTTCAAAGGATAAACCACAAAAATGAGCAGCTAACAGCTAAAACATATCTTAACAATTTCTTTAAAATCAAGTGAATATAACAGAGTAAATGTAACAGAGTAAATGTAACTGAGCACTACCTACCTCTGGTCATTTCAAAACAATGATAAAACATGAAGTGGCTGGTTTGAAAGGCAGGCATAAGACAAAGAAGAGAGAAGCATTTGAACTGTAGTGCAGTCTCCTGTGGGTCAGAGAGGGAATCCCCAGCAGCAGATGTAGATCAGCTATAATCCCCACAACATATTACATAACCACCCCTACATAGTGTGTAATAGTAACATGTCAGAGAACATAAGTCAGGCATATATGTTTGACACAAAGAGGAATAAATACTTAACATATCAGTATTTTGGTGGTTTTCAGATGGGAGGCAAGAGCCAGATTTCCCTAATGATACATCATTGTACTTTGTAATTAAATATCATAATGGTACATTCATAAATGTTGAACTTGGTAATTTCTATTAGTGACTACACCCTAGAACTCACAGAAATTTCCACAGAAATCTGCTTTTTAACAATATTAATTTTAGCTGCCCCTCATCTGCATTAGCCATTACTGGCCTATAGAATGTTGTGATGACATCTGAAACTCAGCAGTTGGTTCCATCAGTATCAGGGCAAATAGAGGAGAAGATGGGCACACCGGCTCTCATTTCACATTTAAAAAGCAGAGTATTCATAGGGACACCAAGGTTTGTATTCTGCTCAACAGTATTATTAAAAAGGTGCACTATGTAGCAGTTCTGGAGATGGTGATGGGGATGTAATTGCTTTGCCTGGAAAGTTCCACAGTTTTGCATTACACTTATCTCCATGGAGACACGGAAGTGACACTAACAGGGCAAGTTTCAGGTCAGGTCTGTGGAGAGATGAGTCAACTCAGTGTTAGCATGTATGTTTATCAAGATGTTTTGATTGAACATATGTAATTTTAATAAATGCTAGATAGATACATTTAATGCCATACTGTGAAACATTTTAGCCAAAGACATTATCTCTACTGAGACTAGTAGGTGGCATACCCTTCTCCTGCAAAGTTACATAGTCCTCACTGATTATGTTCTTTCTTATCTGAATACCTCTGTGCTTTGTTTTTGTAAATTTCAAATCAGCATGGGACCATAACTCCTCAAATAAAGATAAGTGATCACTGATAGAACAAGATAGAGATTTGCTCAGGCCCATGTTAAAACCCAATGATTTTTGTTGGCAACCTGTCAGTGTTTGTGTTGTGATCAGAAGATTGAGACCTAATCCTGCTGTGAGTTGTGTGTCACCTGACTGACTGATAATGGCCGCCTGCTCCTGTTGAGCCCGGTTTGGTCTAGTTCAATCTCAGTAATGATGATTGCACTGCATGTGTGAGTGTGTGGGTGTGTGCGTGGGGGTGTGTGTGTGAATGTGTGTGTGTGCGTGTGTGTGCGTGTGTGTGTATGTGGACCTTCATCCAAACAAAGCATGACCGCATCATGAACAGAACATATACATAGAACAGGAGCCCCAAACTATTGACCACCCTGCCGCGCTCTGTTCCTTTGTGTATAGGTGTCTGAAAAGTCTAAAAATAGCTGTGACAAGCTTTAGTTTATAGGTCAGCATCCCAGGGGACATTACAGTATGGGAGAATGTGTGAATCCAGACTCAACCAGTCTTACATAACATTAACCTTCCATTCTCCCCGTGGGAGCAAGGCAGAGAGAGAGTAAACACCATTGATATAGATGCTGTGTGACGATGCTGTCAATGAAAGAAACAAATTGTCCAAACATCTATGAACCACTCTGAAATAATCATGCAATTTTGAGATATGGGTTGAATGTTAGAGATGTTTTTTTAAGCACATATTTGCCATAAATGATGTAGCTTAATGCTAAAAAAGCAAGAATTTGCTCTGAGTCTGACAGAAATGAACAGATCCTGAAGTGTGGCAGCCATGTTTGCATATTTGTGAATCAGGATTAGGGACCAATCTGGAGCAGGTTGATTGAATCGGGACGTCCTTCTTCCTGGCGTCCTAAGCCCCTTGGTGCTTTCAGGAAGAGAGAGATAAAGGGATTTGGGCTTTCAGAGACTTCTACACACCTCCGAATCACAACAGCAGACAAGACTGCTCTCAGCAACTGCCGCAACATTGCTGTTAACAATACAATTCTCATATTTTCTATTTCAATGCATCTGACAGAGCTTTAACATCTGTATTTTGAGATAATTGAGAGATTTGTCCCGGAAGAGAATTAACTACAGTCTGTGTAACAATGTTTGCCATTATTAAGAATGCATAAAACTCAGTGAGCTCAGTTTTGGATTTGAATAGGTCATTGTAGATAACTGACCTCAGAGAAGCGCTGCACGTCCTGAGTGAGGGTCCCAACTCGACTCCAGTTGTAGAAGTTGAGGAACTTGACCACAGCTGGGTTGACTGCATTGTCTGATGGTACTGTGCGGAAGAAGTTTGGGTATTTCTTCTTGTCTGCCAGCACAGGGGTTGTGGCCGCAAATGAGAGCTGTGTAAAACAAGAATATGTACAATTAGCAATTGTTAACAAGTGCTCTTTACAGCAGTAGGACAAAACTAATCATAAGATCAGACAAAAAATATGATCAAAGTTTATAGTTTCTTCCAATTGCTTGTGCTCCATGACCACCACACTATAAAATATATACACTAACTAACAAAGTTACCAACCATGGTGGGCAAACCAGGAGGTATTTGTGAATTGCTATTCATTATAATTGGTACCTAAAATGACTGATGTCACATAATCTAAGAATGAGGACAAAACAACCAGTATATGTGTGCTCTCCAGAGCTCACACAGTGACAAAATTTTCACCTAATTTTCACTTTTGTAATTTCTGTGCTAATGGTAATGGCTAGGATTTGCCCTTGTCTCTGTTCAGTGACACATTTTCAACAATGTCACTGATTTCTCTCTAGTGGCTAAATATATGTGATTCAGTTTTAATTATAATATTGTCACTCTGTATAAAACTATATTTTACTATGAAGCCGTCTTGACCACTTGATATTTATGATGACACTTTTAATCTTTGGTTCTAAGGTCTGAAGGGTGCAAATGTTTAGCCTCTCAGAGGCTAGGCTAACAGTGTAGGGGAGGATAATGAAGCACAGTGTCCTATCTGTGTTAATTTAATAAGTGATATGAATCGGTGCAGGGTTAATTACACACTTGCAGAGATTAAGCAGAACTTGTGATTCATGATAGTGATCAGCACCAGGAAATTACAATCCCAAGCAAGACACTAGAGGTGCACTATAGGTGTAATCTAGGGTGACCAAACGTCCATTTTTTCCCGGACATGTCCGTATTTTGTGTCATGTCTGGGGCGTCCGGGTTTTTTTTTTATAAAGTGATGCAAATGTCCGGATTTTCAGTACAGCTCATTAAACTGAGCGTCTCTCGTAGCGTCTGTGACTCAGAAGGAGCGAGACACAAACAGTCGGTCAGTCTGCAACATACCGAAGCACAAATGCCCATTTAACAATGACCTGTACAAGAAATTCTCCATTTTCCGTCCCACTCGGGACAAGTGGGAGGCCATGTGCACAGGTTGGGAGGTGAGAGGACAGTGTCCCTCGTTTATCGTGGGAGTTACGTTCTAAAAATAACCCGCGATAGGTGAAATCCGCGAAGTCGTCAACTTTATATTTTACAATTATTCTATCTGTGTTAAGGCAGTAAAACCCCTCAGCACACACTTTATACATTTTTCTCAGACAGGACAGGTGTAACCCTTTTTACTTCCTTCTTAAAACTTGTTGCTGCTGTCGTCCTTGTGTTATTTTCCTCCTTCTTTATGTAACAAACTGAAGATTCATTTATTCCATAATGGAGCCCAACAGCGCAGAGTCCCGCACGGGTCCATTTTTGGAGTCCCCCAGTACAACACCGCACCCGCGCAGGACAGGACCGCACCTGCCCCTTAACCCGACATTATATCAAACTTTTGCGCTGCCTACGCCACAGACTGAACCAAGACTAAACCAGGACTAACCCAGAACTGATTCCAGGACTGAAGAGAAGGACTAATCCACGACTGAACTAGGACTAAAACAGGACTAAACCAGAACTGAAACAGAACTCACCGTCAGGACGGACTTGGAGGTGACCGCAGGAGAAAGGACCGGCTCAGCTCCGTACCTTACGGAGTTAAACGCGGCAATTGCCCGATCGCGCTTTGCAGACAAACTGCTCAGCGTTTTCTCTCTTAAGTCCAAGATTAGTCCTGGTTTAGACCTGGTTTAGTCCTGACCCACCCGTGTGTAATTACTACCCGCCTGTAATACACGATGTAAAAAATTGCATCCCCCACCAATATTTGTACCTCATGAAACAGCACATATTTGGTGAATAAATGTTCTAAAAAATTATTTGTTTCTATGGAGAACATTTTGCTCGCAAATGTGGGCAGCTTTTTGTGGGCAGCTTTTACTAAACATAACCCACAAGAAAAAAAAAGCACAATCAAATAATGTTCAATTCAGGTCTGTTCCCACTCATGTTTGATATCTCATACTGCTTTCTAATAAAGACAAAATACAATATTCTGTAGTTTTGTACCAATGCATGATCATCACCCAGTACATCCTTCTATAGTTGTCTTCTTGCTCCTCACACTTTCACAAACACTTGCTTTCGAAATACTATAGATTTCTAAGAAGAGCCAGTGATTTTCTCACCGTCCCCCTCATGACTAGCCTGAGGATATGGTCAAAATGAAGAAAACACAATAGCTGTGGTGTGCACTTTAACTCAAATTAAAAGGCTGCAGAGTATTGCACCAGGCTGTCCGATTGGAGAAGAGCTGCAGGGAAAATAACATAATTGGTTGATTTCACAGTGTCATGAGCATACGCCAGCCGCAACCTTTTGTTATTACTGCTTCATAAGGTCAGCTAAAAGTTGGTGATAAAACATGAAAACACAGGCTGCTACTACTAGGCATGTATTATTTTCCGATTAAATTTTACATTTAACAATAGTGCACTGTTTGAACCAGGCTTCACTTTGTGTGGCTATTGTATCAATGTCACAAGAGTCCAATATAAATGTCAAAGGAGCATCAAGTAATCCATTTTTAATTCCTTTAGTCCTGTGAAAGAAATTTGGTCGAGCAGTGAGCCGTGTGGATGGGCATTAGATTGTTTCCTCCAACAGGATCAATAACATCTATGAAAATCAGTGACATCCATAATCACTTCAGTTGAGATTTGACTACTTTTTACTACTGCTATTGTTTAAACTGTGAAAATGGATTTAGTATTTTATAATCTGATAATGTCATATTCTTTGACAGGAGGCACCAATTACCCTATGCATTACGTTTCATTTTCAAAAGTAATAATCAGAATATTATTTACAAAAGATACACTAGAAAGTTGTGGTCAGTCGGTGTGAATGGACAGAGCTGACCAAGATGAATGTACATGCAATAGATAAAGAGAATGCATAGAACAGACTAGTCTTTTCTAACAGTGAAGAGGCTTTTTCAAAGAAAGGAGCAGAAATAGTGTGTGATATCACACATCTGAGAGTAGAGGCTTATGTAAGAGGGGTTTAAAGAGGGCCGACCCAAATAGGATGGAGAGGCCTGCACATGTGCACACACACTGATCAGGTTTAGACACAGCTTCACTCTCACTAACAAACAGCTGCAGGAACTGCTACTCAAATCTACCCCAATCACCCGCGTCTCTCTAATACGCTAACCTCCATGACTCACCAACTGCTCTGGTCAAAGAACCTGGGGACAAAAGACACAATAGCACAGTTTAGTCATTCAATACTCCCTATGTCTAAATGAGATACAGCTAATGGTAGACTTGAGTAAATTTTTATTTGCATATGCAAGAAACATTGGAGATGTAAATACAAAATTTAAAAAACTCAATGCAGGAGAGAGTGAGAAGACCATCAGGTCTTATAAGACCACCTCCCCTAAAACATGGCAGGCATGAGCAGGCAAGTCTATTTGTTACCGTAGTTCAAAGACATTAGACTGGTGTGACTCTCACAAACACATTCATACACCAAAGCAGTATCAACATAAAGCACTGGATTTATACAGCACCTTTCAAGACACTCAAAGTACTTTACATTGTATTAGTCAACCAATCGATGATGTAAACTACTAATGTAGGCTACCAACCTGTGCCATCAGCCCCCCCAACCACCACCAATCACTCACTCTTTCACTGCTAAGCAAGGAGGCTGAAGTGTCTTGCCAAAGGATACAGCAACAGTTTCCACTATAGAGTCAGTGCTGTCCTTTTGTGGCACCCAGTATTCCAGTACTAACCAGATCCAATCCTACTCAGCAGCAAAGATCATATGAGATTGAACATTTTTTTAGTAAGTACTGCTCATGGAAACAACAACATCAATATGAGCATAGGATTCTTAAAAACTTTAAATTAGACATCCATTACATGTGATGTTGAAACTGAGCTCAGCAACAAATAATGCCTTGGTACATTCTGTCTACTCTGTGTTAAAGAACCCAGTCAGCCCTTCAATAACAACACTTTGCAAATGTGGCCTTATTTACATACTGTATTTGGTATTATTTGTCAGGAATTGGGAATCAATAGTGCATAAATTAAAAGTAACAGCGTGGCCAACATTTCCAAGCACAGCAGTTTGTACAAAAATAAGGATGCAAAGGAGTGCCTAATCGCTGTGACAGATCTAATGCCATCGATTGGTTCTAGGCGCAAACGTCTGCTTGGCCTTTGAATAATGAAGTGGGTACGAAGATGTCGGATAAATAAACACAAGCTTGTATTTTATGTGCGACAGTTAAAGCAGATGCAGTTTGTTGACTAAGATTTGAGGGAAAAGCAGGTCGGAATTTACTCAGTTGCTACAGCAACATGGTTTTGAAGATGACCTGGTTCCCAGTTAAGTTTTACTTTTGGTCTAATTACCTCTTCCCCTCCTGCTGTCTTTGGGAACCATGTGATACTTATTTAGAAAGACAGCCACAGTTCATAGCAAACACATCATTAGAGGAAACTCAGAGCTGGAGTTTGGAAGGGGCAATTATTCTGATCAATGGCCAATTATCTGCAGCTTTATGCCCTGTGTTGGTAATATAGTCAGATTTGATCATGGTGGTGAAAGGTCTATCCAAAATCATATAAATATAACTGTCCATCATATTATAATATTAACTACTAATTAATCGATCAAGGCAAACATTTTATCTACTGCTTCTGATTCACAAAGTCAAGTGATACAGAGGAGGCCTCTGTGATATCAACAGAATGTGAGGATGCGGTCACAAGGGGCAAACATGATGAATACATCTACGGCAAACACGCTGTTTTGATGAATGGGATGTTTCCTGATTCTGGAAAATTAATTGGTATCATCCCAATATAACCCCAAAGTGAGGAGCTTCAGGGCTGCAGTCCAAAGTAATAAAAAACAATTACAAACCACAAGGGATATAGTTCTGAGCAACTTCAAACAACCATCCCA